AAAAAATGAGGTAGAGTTACTAGTTTTAAATGACATCTATGTGTAGAACAAATATATGATTATTGATGGTGTGGGTAGCGAGTGTAGATACGATATAAATATGATGCCCACACACTCGGCTTGCACCCACACTTATACTATTTAAACACATGCATAACTGACTAATGTGTGTTTATTTATCTTTTAAAAGTATAATCAGTGTATAGAATAGTATGATACTTTGAACTAGTTTGTTGAATAGGTCGAAATCAAAATGATATCGTTGCTGTTGCTGTTGTTGTTCTGCAACAGGTCTTGTCTCCAATGTCCGATTAACTAATTCATGCAAAGACTCCATACTCCCAGCATGTTGTTGCTGTTGTTGAACAACAAGTTGTGTCAATTGTCCAATGTGTTGTAGAAGTTGTTCTGATATATGATTATTTCGTTCTTGTTGTCTCTGTGTAAGTTGTACTAATTGTTCATTTTGAATGGAAACTTGTCGTTGAACAGAAGCATAATTTTGCTGTTGTTCTTCTTGAATATGGGAAAGTAATAGCATAGATTGATTTTGATTGAGATGTTGCTGTGTGAAACGTGCGTTATTTTGTTCTTGTTGTTCTTGAAAACGAGCTAATTCTGCCAATTTTTTATCGTTTTCTAGTAGAAGTTGAAAAAGTTGATCATTATCTTCTTGTTTTTCTCTATCATCCATATTATCAGACTGATGATTCTGAAATGATTGCAAAGTTTCAGGGCAAAATTCTTGTATGAGTCTGTGTAGAACTGTACCAAAGTCTCTCTCGCCAAGGTTTCTTCGACGAAGATGACAGTTTTGAATCAATGCGATATGCTCGGCAATAAAGACATTAAAGCGATCACGAAAATTTATATCATTAACTGCAACTATATTTAAGAGAATCAAATGATGGTATTTTTCAGAAGAAAAAACAAATGTCTCATTTTACCCGTTCTCATGCCTAATCCTGCTTCAATGGTATTGATTTCATTTATTAATTCTTCGAATTTTTCTTCGAATTTATTTTCATCAAAAAACTCAATATGTTTAAGATCGGATTTAATGATACCGAGACCACCACTCGGACGATATGCTTCTTCCATCATACATGGAATAACGGGAATTTTCCTTTCAATTGCATATTTAGCTTCTAAAAAATAGATCAAGTCCTTATTTTATGAAATGAACAAATATCAAGATCTCACCACGATTGCAATAATCGCTTTGAGAGTATCCATCAGACATACATAAAATTACAATATAAGAATTCTCAACTGCTTCACCCATTCCATCAAGTACACTACCATGAAGATCACTCTTATCATACCATACATTATAATGTCTTTCCTATTCATATAAATCAAGATATACATATGCTATTTTAAGAAAATATATTTGTCATCTATTTACTATTAAACAATCACAAATTTTCTGAGAAATAACTGATGCGCTCTTGTGATTATAGCTAATCATAATATGTTTTCTTTTGGGCAATTGCTGTTGAGTATTAACCGTGGTGGGAGCATTTATTTGCAGCTCTGGCTCACCTATAATCGAGAACAAAAAATGAATTCGATACAAACCATATTATGATCATACCTGTTTGTAACTCTGTATATGGCACAGTGTTACCATTGGTAATAATTACTGGTTTGTCTTCAGAGACAATGCTAGTGCTGATAGTAGTTTCTTTTTTGTTAACTGAGCTAGGACTATCTTGAACGACTTTTTCACTCGTTTCCTTTATTTTTATAAAAGTGCAATTTATTTGATTGGTAAGAGTGGCTAAATAAGAATACGGGATAATTTACTTTTCAATTTAGTAAGCTTACGTGTTTCTTCGTCAGCAGGCTCAGATGTCTTATATTCATTATCATCTGATTGCGCAAAAACTGATGAATTTTCACGAAGAGAATTATTGATGCCGTCTGTAAACAATATTTAATGAGATAATTGGTATAGAAAATGACTTACTAGCATCAAACTGGACGTTAGTATCCGTACTACTAGTACTACTATTATATTCCATTTCTTTTTTAACTACGAGTTGTTTTGCCGTTCACTGTTACGATATTTCGAGATTCTGTAATTTGCAACTTTTTATCTTATATAGAAGAAAAGGATATCAACAAATATAAAGAAACTTTATTTTATACTACGCGACCAATGAAGTAATGCAAACATTCTTGTGCAATAAAAAAATCCAACACGAAAGCAAACAAGTTAGAAGCATACATCTTTCCGTTCTCTTCTTCTTATCATTTACTTTATGCGAAAGCCCATCATGTTGACTATCATAAAAAGAGAATATCGCGTTACACGCAAGCAAAGACTAATACACACAATATCGTTTAAAAAGCAAAACAAGAAAATGGATTTTAAAAAAAGATGTGCTTTATTTTAAATATATCTTTTCATTCTTTCTTCTCTCCTTGTGCTTCGCGTGCGGAGTGTTGGTGTAAATGATGAGAAAAGCAGTAACTACACCGACTCTTCGATCGAAAATTATACCTACTCATCGTCGTGACTCACACCCACACCCTCAAGATGATTAACATCATTGGCATGTAAAATAATAAAATAATTCTTTCTAGAAAGACTAATATCTTGAGGATGCGGTTGTGTGATGCGTGTGAACGGGGATAGTCGTTTCATTCATCGACCTCATCCGAACCCATGCCCACATCCACACACACCATACTCCACCAACCAACACCAACACCCGTACCCATATAAGTGACTGTGCATGTTTTTGTTGATGACTGATAAGACACTTCGACGATGAAATATCTAGTTATCAACGAAAATTTCCAACTATATCTTTTTCGTTATAAAATGAGGCACACCATATGAGTTTTTTCTTTTTGAAATTTCCACTTTGCCTGGCCTCTCAAATAATTTAGGGTCGAAGATGGGGATGTGGATGTGGATGTAAAGAAACATAAACCCATCACACATATCCACACCCATCCTCAAGATAATCATGGATCTACAGTTTGGCAGAAAAAATGACGAAGCACGTTGCTGGTTACATTTCAGTTGCGTTTCCAAGTTTGTACAATTATATAAGAAGTTAAAAAACGAAAAATTCTTGATTAGTAATTAGAATGCTTGAAAGAAAAAACAATATTTTCATTAATTCTCTTTACCTTCTACAAAGTCGCGGAGATACTTTCTGTTTTGATTAAAAGGGTTTTTTTCACTCTCATTCGAGATTTATTGCGCACATCATCATCATTCAATGTATACTCACTTATTACGCTTCGTTTTTTTCGACGTTTGACGCATTGACGTTATCGAAAATGAATGTATGAAATTTTTTTGATATTCCTGTTTTTATTTCTAGATTAGCATTGTTCGCTCAACATATTTTTTATTCTAATTACAAAATATGGATCACATTTTTCCAGATGAGATATTTCTACAAATATTTCAAAATATAAAACCATTAGTGTTATGGTCTCTGGTATACACCAGATCATATATATCTTCTTTTCTTTCTCTCCT